CTTGTCGTCTTTAATAAAGATGTCCAAAGTAAACCAACTGGGCTTGTCTAGGAACGTTAGGAATCGGGAAGCGGAGACTGAGGAGTCTCGCTCCACAGTAATGTAAAAAATTTAAACGTACATCTGTCTCGTATAATTTAAAAAACTTTTAAACCCTCATAACAGCCTATGGCTGCAAATCTGCTTAAGGAAAATTTTTTGCTTTGGAAAGGGAAATGAATCCAGTGAAATCTGAATTTCTGCTTAACAAAGTAGCACCTTCTGCAAAGAAATTTTACGCAACAAAACTTGACGACCAAGATATCCACCTAAATTAACTTTGGAGTTTGTGCAGCATAATGCAAATACTGCTGATTTGTTTAAGCTTTTCGGCTATGCGTTTCCTTGAAAAACGATTGACAGATTTATTTGCGGCATTTTGGGATTTGAATACATGGTAATTAAGCCTACTCTTGATACCACTTGTGATAGGTCTTCTTTGTTTCTCTGCTTAGTTTATTTGCTTCAGTTGTGCTTCTGCTAATCAAAACCTATAGGACGTCGGTTATTTTCATATGCTGCGATTTTCGGATATTAAATTTTGTAGTGGATATGTTTGACGGTAGTTCGAAGCTGTGATTCACATCCTTTTAACACGAGTTTTCACTTGTTGACAAATGCACTGTAGCTTGTTCATTAAATCGAATCTCTTTACAGTCTCGAAAGCGGTGGCAAAGGCCGCAAACTTTAAACCTCTCTTACGCGACCGAACAATCTTACGACATTTACGATGATGAAAATGAAGTAAGTTGGCACCCGTTCTACACTTACTTTCCTCTAGTATTTGTTTAATTTATCTTTCCTTCATTTAAGCCTTCGACTCCACCAAAGGTTCCATGCTTTTCACCTCCTCCAAACCTGGTTATGGTCTCCGAAAATCTCAATCTTGCTCCCTTCTCCCAACGTGCGGTTGTCGACTTTGGCGATTTTTTAACCGTCGGACTACCATCCACTCGCTACTTGCGTCTCCGTAATCTCCAAGCTTCATCCATAACCGTGTGCATCTTCCACTTTTCTTCCATTTATCCGATTTGTTTGTTTCCTCAAGTGTGTTTATACACTTACTTCCAGGTTCACTGTAAGCGCTACCCAACTAGTGATGAATTCACCCTCTCCTGGCTTCTGACAACTAAGGAGAATGCTGAAAACCTCCCAGATCCAGAGACTCAAGCTCTCATCGATACCTCTGCCCCCCCAATCAGTCTAATCTCTTCCCAAACCATCCATTTGGGTCCTCATGGTGACTGCCTTCTGCGGGTGATTTGGACACCAAAACCGGGTCCTTTGCCATCAGTTTTGGGCGCAAAGGCGTCCGGGTCCACAAAGCTTCGTCATGTTCTGCAATTTCGATTCAGTGGCGCAGCTGTTGTGGAAGCAATACTTGTCGCTACTAGTGTGAAGCAGCCCACTAGAGGTGGTAAAAAGGTGTGGAAGCGGCCTCATAACTTTTTGGTGAGTTGAGAAGGTTGTACTTCATGTAGGCTCTTGCCGACTATACGACGTAGTCATATTTTTTTCAGTGTCATCGTAATGGCAGTCAGGAGTATTCCTCTACTAGATCCGTTTTTCGCAGTTATCAGAATTCAAACCATGAGGCAAGTTGTAATTGACAAATTGAATTTTTTTTTCTGTTTCATTTTTTTATTCCGGCACATTTTTTGGACTGAAGGATGTTTGGGTTCTTATCATAACCCAAATAAAGGGCTAATTTGTTGATTAGATTTCACGATGCTATCTATAGGAAAACAATACTTGAAATATTTAGTGAATGAGATGTTATTTGAGTATTCCAGCATTGTTTGGAAGATGGCATTTATAATTTACCCTGATCTTGAAAAAGTGCTGCTCACAGAATACAAAAAAATATTTGAATGATCGTTTCGTTTCAGGTATGAAGCCTGATGTTTGCTACGCCTTTGTGCGGCCTAAATTTGCAAATTCATCCACTTCCCACTTTTTGTTCGTCTTCGATCCATCTACTCAGATAGATATTTCCGGATCCATATGCCTCTGAGCCATTCATTCCAGCTGTGATACACTGATTTGTCGTTCTTAATCGTTCAATTTTTGGTTAATCATTCACGTGTTCACAAATTCCTAGTTCTACAATTTATGCTTGATCCACCGATTGTTGAACCTGATTTCTCCAGCTCATTCCTCTATTTGGCTGTCCAGAGGGTCGGGAGGTTGTGGGGTCGTGGTAGGATTTCTTTCTGTAGCTTAGATTAGCCAGTACACAGTTCTGTGTAGGCAGTAGCGTCAGTTACGTTGTACGATCGTTGCCCTAGCACTTAGGCCCAATCTTCCCTTATTTCATTTCCTCCAATCAGGCCTCTTGACGAAACCACAATGTTGGAATGGAAAGGCGGTGATCAGCTGATCAATTGAGATTTATAGACTTTTTGAAATTTATTATTATTAAAGGGCAAGTATTCATCTCTCCTTCACTCATCCGCTTCTATCTCATTGTAGGATTTTTCAATTATCTTTAATTCACTCTGGTCTATCGATTTACCTATTTCTCTAATAGGTAAATTCCTATCTTCTACGCGTCCGTCTTTGAATTACCCACCACAAATTCATCTGCTGTGGATTTGTTTGTAATTCAATCACCCACAGTGCCTCACCCCACCATTGATGATGACCGCATCATCTACTCCGAATCCGTTCATCCATCCACTTCACCTGTCTACCTCTGGTCTAGTTATTCGCCCCCAAATTAGTTAATATTCGGTTTATTTCATGCAGTCTGGGTCTATCAAACCATCCTCGCCAAACTTTAATGCGTTTATGTTTGCTTGATAGCTCATCCTACATGCCTTCCATTTTACATACATTTAGTCAGTGACATCCTTTTTTCCATTTATCTCAGAGCACGGAACGAGGGACTTTTTTACTACCTCTCTCCAACTTAAATATGGACCTCAACGGAAATGTTATCGAACGCGGCAAAAGTGGTCCAGTGTCTCATTGTTCCACGTCCGCACAGTCGGTTGAGGCGACCCTTCGGCCCTCTCGACCTTCCGAAGTGTCTTTGGCTGCTGGGAAGAGAAGGCTGATGCGTTCCTCGTCAGGACTTCGAGCTCTGGGTTCGTTGGCTCACTGATTGAACTGCCAATTGACTGCTCCACCTTTTGGTTTTTCGAGTTGTTTATCAGTCACCGTTTATCCAGAACTGAAAATCAGTTTTTTAGCCAATATTTTTATGGCATCTTAGTTTAGAATGAAGATGTGGCGGCGTTAACCTAACAGTTGTCGAGTGATTTTGATTTTGCATTGTAAGTTGGCTGTCCCTTAGTTCATCTTTTAAAGACAACAACGGTAGGTCTCTGTGACATGCACTTTGTCAGTGACGAAGGAATTGAAGTGTCTGTTAGGTGATGAATAGTCAGTGGTTTGTAGGAAAGCAAGACTTTGAAGCTAGTTGCTTGAATGGACTCGTACTTCTTACAGTTGCCTCAAAATTGCTTCTTAGGTTTTATTAGAAATGCTAGCAAGTTATGTGCTTATTGAGATGGGTTAGAAGGCAAGAATAGATATTTCCTTTTTGCTTCCTCTTTCCTACAGCCGCATTTATGACCAGTCGCGATCGGCATCGTTCCCAATCGTTGGACATGAGGGATGCAGTCTCGGTCCTGGCGGCGGAGGATTTTCGGACGCCTCGGCGATCTATCTCTACCGCGAACGATCTACAGCGAACTCCGGAAAATGAGGCAACCTCCTTCATCTCGCCCGCTCTTCTTTCTCCTGTGGTGAAGAGAGGTGCGTCCTGGCTTTGGTTCTGAGTGGACAATCAACCCATTTTGTCTCACTTCTTCTTTAAGGCGTTAAGATTGCGTTGGTCTAGATGCTAGAGCTGTCTGCAACCCTAAAAAGCGTTTCTGTTCCGATTTCCTAGAAGTTTCCCCTACATGCCTCGTTCTCCACCTAGGCTGTCTCAACTCACTTGTTCGGTTCTGTAAGGCCAAGATCAAAATACTATCAGTACAGGAGTGCGAAACCACCCACTATCTCCAGCAATAACGCACGCTCTCTTGCTTACTCAGACGGTCTGCGATAAAGACCGGGATCCGCGTTCATTCACATAATTATTTGTTTTGCACACTAGGTGACATCACCACATCAGCGAATCACTCGCTGAATACTGATACAGTCAGCTTAATGTGAACTTTACATCTTCCTAAATTGTTGTGTGGAATGGTTTGGAAGTGCAGTTTGTGCTAGTTTTAAGAATATTCACTCATGTTTGGCGTCATTTTTGATGGTCTCAGTTGTAGCATTGGCGCACAGATCACCAGAACTGTGGCCGTATCTTTGGCATTGAATTGAATGGCTTGGAAGGGACTTTTACCTTGGTTCAATCGTGTGTTGTATTTAAGCAATATGTAATCCATTCCTAAGCAAGCTGGATTATTTTTGGACTTGTGACTATTTGGTTGGTAAAGCAGTCAATATAACCGGCGGATGGATTAGCCGATTACTTGATTAATTTGTTCAGACCACATTTAAATTACTTTCTGTTGCCACTGATGTGTTTCCAGACACTAGTATCATCTTTGCCACTGGTGCTTGTCGCAGTGGGACTAGCAGCACCGCTGTCACTTCTACCACAAGCATCAACAACAGTAGTGCCAATATCTTCGGTTGGGACGCCTCAGCTGCTCTCTCTGCGGCCAATGAGACTGGCTTCACTCGGTGGCTAAATCACCTTTTCGCTAGTGGGCAAATCACTCGATCTTCTGTCTCTGACGGTGATCCTGCAAGCCGGGCAGAAGGTCCCCGTGCGGCTCTTTTGCGCCTCCTTCATTCCCCAACCTTTGCTGCACCTGCACATCGCATCGAACGCGAGATTGATGGCCAGAGACTGGTGGTCAATCGGGATCTCAATTTTCGTGACGATAAGGGTGAGTGCCTGATCACTTATAGTTTCCCTGGCTCCTTTTGCCTTGAATGGTCTCATTATATTCTGCCTGGGCTGTATCACCGGCAGTAGTGCATTCTCAGCGGAGTCTGACTACAACAGGGAGGGTCCAAGTTGTGAGAGAAAGTGATACCCTATTTACTAAACAAGCTTGGCTATCCACTGCTTTATGTGCGGCCGTGAATGCTCAAATGGGATCAACCATGTCTGAGTCATAGCTAATTCGCACGGCACTACCAAGTATGGTCGGCCATTGATCAGGAACCAATCAAGCCCTATCTCCTCATGCGCGTGGCTATTCTTGATCATTCAACCACCTATTGTTTTCTGCTCGTCTCCAGCGGCTCGGTTGGCTATTGCATGGGTACTCGTGGCGCATCCATCCACGTAAATCCCAACAGTCTGTCTGCCTTTCAACCTAAAGTCTATTTCGTTTACATTATCAAAACTTGGATTCTTGTAGACTTACATTTTGTCCTCGTTTGTTTAACTCAGGTTCTTCGCTATACTCCACTTTTAAAATTCAGCATAAAATGGTTAGTTTAATCGCCTTGAATGTACTTTCTATATCAAGGAAATATTGGGGCATGGGATTCTTCAATGATTGTTGCCACTGCAGTATGAACATTTCTTCCAGAAGAATTCTAAAACTCCGTCAAAATAGGCATGATTAATTGAACGAGTAGTAAGATGGGAAGAAAGGTAGATTACTTCTGAGATGGGAATGGGACCAGAGAAAGCAGAAAGCAGAAAGGATTGCACACGTCCTCTTTAGTACCTCTCTTCAGTCGACTTCGATGTCCTTTGTGGCTTGAATGATCGGTGGGTATGAGACTGGAGAAAATGAGGAAACCAGGAGATATAGGGAAAGACCAATACATTATTCTTCCTCTGCCCCATAGGTCTTCAACGTTGCATCTGTGACCTCTTTACCTCTCACTATGCATCCGTTTGGCTGTCGCCCTGTGTGGACGTGTTGACTGAACTTGTGCAGTCGCCAGAAGCACCCATGGCCATCGTAGCAAAAGCTTCCGCATTGAGCAGGCGGGTTCACAGGTGCCTCTTTGCTGATGTGCCTCCGCTGCCAAAGAAGAAGGGGACGAGGAAAAAAGCCAACTCAGCAGGAGAACATGAAGCCGACCCGATGTTACTTGCAAACTGGAAATCAGTGGGAGGTAGGCGGAACCAGGGGAAATACCTCCTCCCTCTCCTCCCACCTCTTCCCTTTTTTTCATGGCGAACTGAACTAACCGTCGTGTCTATGTGTATTTGTAGCCACATCCTACACTGAACACTACAACCAGCAAATCGTGAAGCGTTGTCTCACCCTCATTTGGCTGTTGGATCAGGCTAAGATGAAGAGGGTTTTGCGACTCGACCCATGCCTTTTCAATGTATCAGCCCCAGTGAAGGTGAGTTGTACCTGCTGATTAATTATCATCAAAGTGGTAGCATCTGTGGATTCGATGTATAGCATCCAGGCACACTGAAGTGCTCCTCGTCTCATCTAAACTTTATCTCTGCAACATTCAAAAGTCAGAATCTTTATCAGAGCAGTGGTGGCCAGATAACTTTGGAGATAATCAACGCGACTCCTATATAAGTAGTGTATTTGTATGAGTTATAGGCATCATATTTAAAAACGAAATATTTTTTTCGGTTGTTGGTGTCAATTCTTTGGGTAACACTAGTTTGGTACGTTCCAGGGAACTGGTTGATGTTGTTCCGGTAAGCGATTTGCCTGGCACCCTACTGATTAACTCCACATAAGTAGCATGGAGAAGTTTTCACCACCACCGACAGTTCTCGAGCGCTTTGTCGCTGATGGTATATGACCATGATTGGCAGACAATTTTGGGTCATCGAAGGCCACCATTTGTTCAATTGTTAATGCAGTAATCGAATGGGCCAACCGACAAGCCACACCATAATTTGTGTGTGTCCGTTACCCTTGGCTCAAGGCGAGGCTCGGTGAAGGACGACCCAATTGTCGATCCAATTCGTTTGCCGACTTCAATTATGCTGCATGCCTTTCATCTATGGAAGTTGGAATTTTCATGCTCCATTATTCAAGTAGCATCATTCCATTTCATTACAAGGGCCAAACTGTTAACTTCATTTAATTAGCATGAGCATGGGTGTTTAACATTTCACAGTTACCAACTCCTTAAATGTTATTTTTTTGGACGATTTTGAGTCTTCAAATGGCTTTAACCGGACTCAATAGTAATAGGTAGTATTTGCT